ATGCGGCCAGATGTCACCGGTTTCTAAAAGCCTAGGTGGGCATGCCAGGTGTCATCTGCCCTCCTCTCTGGACGCCTTTGATTTGCAGTTACAAAGAGTATCTCAAGTTCCGAACACTGTTCTGTGGCCAGTGAACCCAGCCCACTAGGACTGTGGAGTGGCCACTATGGGGCATCTTTGTGGCCCGGAGGGCAGAGTGGGCTAACCCACTGCCACTCACCTGTCCTGCTCCTGGTGTCCTGTGACTGTGCAGTGACATTTGGCAGCTTGATCCCTATTCTCTGTCAAGACTGCTGGCAGCCCTGTGGCTGTGGCCTTTGTTTGTCTTGTACTAGCTGGCACTGTCTGGGAGGGCACCAGGCCATGTTATTGTGTTGCCGCAGTGTTCTTGACGCAGTCCTCATGGTCTAGAGGTGTGCCGGAAGGTGGGGACAGTTGAGTTGGGCAGCCCAGTCCCCTGACAGGACAGGCCTACTGAGGATGCCTCCTCTTCTCCACCTTCCTCCTCCCCGCTTCTCTCCTTGGTTTTCCAACCTGCATCCTCTCTCCTCTTTTCTCCGCATCTCCCCCCTTCCTCCCCACATTTCCCTCTTCTGGGTGAATCTGTGCCGATCTCCCTTTCTTTTGCTTCTAGAGGAGTGTGTTTTGGGGATCAGATACCCTTGTGGGGAGACTCCCTAAAGTGAGGCTGCTTGGGGCCACCCCACCATATCCTTAACTCAGATCCTGTAGTCGCTGGAAGTGGAGTCATCCTGGGGACAGCCCGAAGTGGCTCCATGTGTGAAATGTGGTGTGGTTAGTTGGCCCAGAGGCGGTCTGCAGAGGTGGCTCCTTCCCCCTGAGCGGTGAGACTCCGCTGTGCATTCTGCAGGAGGTGATTGGCCAGGGCAGGACTGGGGCTTCCATCTGTTCCCTGTTTGCACTTGGGCGCCATTTCAGAAACCACACGGGAAAAGTTTATAGGCAAACATTATAAAAAGTGACAGTCTGAAGTGCTGCTATCGCTGGCTTGGCAACATAAAGCATTACCTGAAGCGGCTTCCCATCTCTCGCCGCTAGAGCTGTTTGGGAGCCTCAAGACTGCCATCCTGGTGGTGCTGAGGCAGAAGTCCCTCTGTGCACTGTGAGGTTTCTCGTTCCCAGCCTCATCTACTCCTGCAGGATCCCTTCCTAGGGTGGCTCTCACACAGCAAGTCTCCTCACTTTGCTCACTTATAGGAGGGTAAACACAAGTTGTCACTGGTGACATCCAGGTGGGTCCCACCCAGAGGCTGTGGCCTACCTGGATCTGCAGAAGGACTTGGGGAGGGGGCATGTCAGGAAGATTCTGCCTCAGTCTCCCTTTCACCTGGGTCAGAAATCCCTCATTTCTAAATCTCTATTGCCTTCCAAGGAATAGTGAGTGACTCAAGGGACATCTTGCAGAGAAAGTGGGCCCATGACAGGGTGAGAGCCATAGATATACTTTTTTTCATGGCTTTGAATGCACTCTGTAGCGTAGGTAGGCCTTAAACCCACTCTGTAGCCCATGTGGGCTTTGAACTTACAACCCTCCTAACCCAACCTGTTAAATGCCCACCGAGTACCACCATGCCCCCAACACAGTTGATATTTTCATTACTGACTTTTGACGCTGTGAAGGACCGCCCCCTCCCCCACCTCCAGACTATATCAGAGTAGTCACCTCACTGAAAATACACCTACCACACAGGAAACTGCTGGCATGTCTCAAGGGATTAGAACCTGTGGGTAGAAACACAGCTAAGCCTCCACACGGGAGAGCCTCCAGCCAGTGTTTTGTTTGTGGCAGGTAGAAACAGCTGAGTGGATCCCTCCCAGAAAGTAAACATGTCACCCTGTTTGTTCAGAGAGTTTAGGTAACAATGACAAGGTATGGCCTCGCTCCCTCGCTTCTTTCCAAGTTTCCATTTAATTATGAAAAATGTGTGAGAGCATGCTTTCTGTCTATCTAACTTCTGAAAGAACATTTGGTGTCGAGAAAAGCAGCTTCTGGAACCTTCTCTCTCCCCGTTGTGCTGTGGAGAGTGCCGAGGGAGGGAGGGGGCTTGAAAGCGAGTGTTCTGAGGAAAACGGAATGGCAAGCCGTGGCATCAGAAATGTTAAATCCAGGAAATGTTGATATTGCTGTAAAAGGGACTGTTTGGATTTCCCAGGGAGTTCCTTGCCCTATGCCAATAGTCACGTGCTACACAGAGCCAGTGGCTTGGTGGAGTCCGGCAAGGAGCGGCCTGCATCAGAAGGCCGCCTGAGTGGGAGAGAGAGGTGAGGTGTGGTGAGCTCGGTGCCTTTGGTGCCTTGGTCCCTTGTAGGGCACTCTGAGGTGATTACGATGGAGAGTTGTAATACTACAGGACTCTAGGAGCAGACGTTGTTTGTGAGTAGCCAGCCCGGAAGTTCCCTGAAGGATCTGGACACAGAAGAGAAGGCTTCAGCTCGGAAGCAAGTCTCCAGGGCCAGGCAGGAACAGGGTGGCTTCTTCCCAGCATGCCTCTGGGGTCCCATGTTCTTAGTACCCTGGTCCACGATGTAGCTCACGCGTGCTCCATTTGCAGGGACCTACCAGCTAGATCAGTGGGGACATTGGATGGCCTGGGATGCCATCCGTTTGGTTTTTCTCCCCCCTTGTGGTTCTGCCCACCCATCCCTCAGCGTCCTTCTCTGTTATCTCCTCCCTGGCTCTGCAGCGTTTGACCCTCTCCCTCCTTTTCCCCTCCCTCCTTTTCCCCTCCCTCTCTTAGTTTTCCCTCCTTGCTAGGATACCCAAGGAGGAGGTAGCATGGCTAACCACCGATGCTGCCGCCCCCTGCATGGGTCCTCTTGTGAAATGGCCGTCGCGGAGGTAGGAGGAGTTGTGCTTTCTGCCTTGACGCGAGACTGGCTTGATTGCAGATACTTACCTTTCTTACGTGTGTTTGCGGACGGTACTTTACTGTCTCAGTCGTCTTCCTGGGGAACTACAGAACAACAGTTGGGATGACTGACATCGCCTGGGTTGGTTGTGGCCGCAAGATCAAGTTCACAGTGGGTGGCTCCTGGGTAGTGCTGTGTCTTGGGGACCCTGTGGCTGCGAGGTTATGCGGGACGGAGAGGAAATGCGCTCAGGTGTCCCCCTGTACCCAGGGCAGTGAGTGCCCCTTTACCAGACATCCTGGATCCTGCCCTACCTGAGAGCCCCTCTTCATCCGGTGTTTCTCAGGGCAGAACTAGAAATGGTGGTGTAGTGCAGGTGAACTGGTCCAGCATGGACCAGCAGGGCCGCCTGAATTCAGCGAGTCTGGATCCTTTCTTGCTATCATGTGGAGGAAGGGCTTCTCAGTGGATAGGCCCCATCATTTTCTAACATCGTATGAATCTTTCATTCAGAGATGTTGGGACGAGAGTGGCAGGTGGTATCAGATTTTGGTCAAATTGAATCCCCCTTCCTCTCCATACTTCTCTTCCTTGCTCTTAAAAATATAAACCCTTTATTTTACTTGCTGTTGTTATTATTGTTATTTATTATTATCGTCATTATTGAGTATGTGGATGATGTATGGGCACACGTGTCATGTTGTGTATGTGGAGGTCAGAGTGCACCAGATGTTTATTAAATAGTGGGACTAAAGCATGAATGGACTGTATTTTAGTCATGTGGGAGATTTGTTCTTTTGAGCGAGCTCTGGGCAGAATAATTGCCTTGTGATGTTGCTGCCCAGATCTGGAATTGTCCCAGATTGGACGGAAGGCATTGTGTTTTCTAGGCTTGGGACTCTGGGTACCATCCACAGCTCTCACTATGGGCATGAAAGCTTACTTCATGGACCCTCAGGGTCACCGTGGCCCTGAGGAAGGCCCATGGTCTAATCCTGCCCTGCCTCTTTGAGAACTGCGATGGTGTTCTGTCTGTCTGCCTCCTCTGTGTATGTCAAAGGTTCTCCAGGGTGGAGAGGGGAGTGGGGCATAAAGACCTATCAGAATTGGGCTTTCCGTCTGGGACTCGAAGGATTCCTCAGGAAGTCAGGATATTCACAGGCAATGTGTCCTGTTCCAGTAGTTTTGAGGGACAGGCAGATGGATTTTAGAGTAGGAGAGACTTTTATTTCCAGCCAGGTGGGTCATGATTAATCTGGGATCAGAGAAGGAGCTGAGCTAAACAGGAGTGAGAGGGAGATGTTATGTTCTTTAAAGAGAAGGGTGTTGAGGAGACTGGGGACTGGGGCAGGATGGATCTGGCTTCGCTAGTAGCATGAGGGGTGGACAGTGTAGACAGCATCCTTATCTAAAAGGTGATTTACAGGATAGGGCCATTAATTGTTAGGGACCCCCTCCTTTTCTTTCTTTGGATGTTAAAGGCATCCAGGCTTCTATCATTTTGAAGAAGACAGCATCTCCCAGCTCACCCAGTACAGAACCAGCTCAGTACTGATCGAACCCTGAGAGCTAATTAAAAAAAAAAAAAAAAAAAAAAGAGTAAGCCAATAGTTGCCGCTTCTCAAATGGCCAAGAGTTTTGTAGATGGGTTCATTTGCCTTCAAATTTGAGACATTTTCGCATCGAAAAGTTTGGCTAAGTGAAACATGAATAAGTAGTTAAGTCAGTCTGAGAGTGTGTGTATGTGTGTGCATGTATCACACACCCCGTCGTGCTGAATGGCTAGCTTGGCAATCACCTTTAAACATTTCTCGTGGATTTTCCTTCTACTCTGGGGCGTGGTTGGTTTTTAAAGCCCGATTTACAGTCCGTGGAAACAAACCAGCACAGGACAGCTTCTGCTGGCTGCGTCTGTGGCCATTGTTTCCAGGGCTGTCCGTCAAGTCTGAGTGGGGGCTGCTTCCTGGCTTCTGGGGTGTGGTGAGAGATGGGCACCTCCCGAGGCCGTTTGTCAAACAAGAACAGTGTCTCCTGGGAAAGAACGGCCTCCACTGACCTTTGTTGGACCTTCTCTCCTCTCTCCCTCCTCCCCATCTGCCTCTGTCTTCTCTCTCCCACCTGTTCTGCAGAGCCACCAACCAAATACCAAATCTCCCAACCAGAGTCGTACGTGGTCGCCCCCGGGGAGTCGCTAGAGTTGCACTGCATGTTGAAAGATGCCGCGGTGATCAGTTGGACTAAGGATGGGGTGCACTTGGGGCCCAGCAATAGGACAGTGCTTATTGGGGAGTACTTGCAGATAAAAGGCGCCACACCTAGAGACTCCGGCCTCTATGCTTGTACTGCAGCTAGCACGATAGACAGTGACACTTGGTACTTCATGGTGAATGTCACAGGTGAGTTGGCTTGCAAGTGTGACGAACGCTCTGTCTCCTCTTCTGCAGTTGTTTTCTGATTGAAAAGTCGTTATGATTTTCGGCCAAGTGAAATCACAGTGGACTGTACTCATTGACTGCCAGGCACAGACAGTGTCAGTTTGCTATTCATTCGAGACAAGGTCTTCTTTTGTTGCCCAGGCTGGACTTGAACTCCTAGGCTCACATCAGCCTCCCACCATTCCCCAACAACTACTCCCCCCACCCCCCACCCCAACAAACACACAAACAAGCTGAGACCACAGACGTAGACTACTGTGCCTGGCTGATCTATTTCTGACATTCCTCACTGGGACCCAGTATACCACAGATTTCTCAAGTGACAGAGATATTCCAAAGCAGAGTACACAGTCTTCTTCACCCCCCCCCCCCCCCCCCCCCCGCTCCCACATTCTTGGCATTTACAGTATACAGTTGAAATATGGGAATCTAGATTTGGGTTCCTTTGTTAAACCCTAAATTTCTCTCCTTTTTATTTCCTTCTGTATAGTGAAGGGAATGGGTAGCAGCAGGCCTCCTTTGTGGCCAGTTGGGAATTCTCCCTTCCGAATGTTGGTTAGCAATCAGAAGGCCCACTCAGGAAACTGAGTTTTGTTAGGGAGTCATTTCTATCTTGAAGAGAACCCCAAGTGTTGAAAAGGGGAAATAAAACCAATGTTTGGCTATTATAGAGTCAAAATTTGTTGGGGGTGGGGTGGGACTGGAGAGATGACTCAGCAATTGGGAGCACTGGCTGCTCTTCCACAGGCCCCAGGTTCAATTCCCAGCATGCACATGGCAGATCACAACTGTCTATAAACTACAGTTTCAAGGGACCCAACACCCTCACACAGAAATATATGCAAGCAAAACACCAGTGTACATAAAATAAAAATAAAGTCATTAAAAAATTTTAAAAGTTGTTGGGGATTTGAATACTCTTTGAAGCTCAAAACCCATCCCAGTTTTAGATAGGAGGAAATCCTGAGAGTCAACACAGGTTTCACAGAGACGCTTTAAGCCACTAAAACCATCTTAGCACCCCAAGGTCTCTGCCATTGCTCCTGGGCTCTTGGGTGGTTGAGCTCTCTCTTGAGAAGAGCTCAGCCGCAGGTGGTGGTGACTTTTGCCTTTGCAAACGCATCCATGGATATGTTCTTTTGAATGCAGATGCCATCTCATCTGGAGATGACGAGGACGACACAGATAGCTCCGAAGACTTTGTCAGTGAGAACAGGAACAACCAGAGTAAGTAACCTGCCTCTGAAGGTCCCTGAGAGGAGAGAAGAGGGGAGTCCTGCCTTCTGTCGAATCCTCACCTGTCTTCTGTCGACTCCTCCGAACTGCTGTGCTGTGTCCCTGGCCCTCATTGTCCCCCCGCCCCCCCTATGTCTGCTGTCCCTATTTTCCAACTTGAGAATAAACTCTGCTGCTGTCCACCCTCTCGCCACTTGTCCTTTCTTTGTGTGTCAATAGCTCTCTCTTGCAAACACTGTTTCTGTCTGTGGTTCTACTTTCTTCTTTGGTCTCTCGGTGTTAATAGACCACTAGTAGGACTTGTGGCCATCTTGGTCTTCTTCATAACCCCCATCATGCCTTTCCTGACTTAGGGGTGATAGCCTCTCCTCCCTCCTGGAGTATTTCACTGTTTTTACTGCTTTATTCATTCATGGAGACAAGGTCTCGACTTTGTTGCTTAGGCTGGACTTGAACTCCTGGGCTTGTGTGATCCTTCCATGAGCCTCTCGAGGACTGGGGCCCACAGGTGTGAGCCACCTTGCCTGAATGATCTCTTTTGGAAAGTCCTCCATGGGGCCTGGTGGTGGCTTGTGGTTGGAGGTCAGAGATGTTCCTTATTCACAGCGTACAGCTTAACAAGAATTATCTGGCCCAGAGTACAATGTTCTGAGGCTAAGAGACCCAAGCCTTTGCAACGTTGCCTCTTGCTGAGGGGAAAAAGCATGTCCTACTTTGAGGATGGTGATGAGAAAGGGGGTGAATGTTGGCATGTCTTAAGACAGTGGGCACTGGGCACTCACTCTTGAGGTCGCTGACTTGCTCAGTAACAATAACATGACCAGCTTCTTTGGAGCTGGGCAGCCAGAGATCCAGTAATGATTCACTGCTTCTCGGTTGCCCAGTTGCTGTCTGTGCCTCAGATGGGAATGGCAGCCATGTCTTCTGGGAAGTTAGATTAAAGGAGAGCGTGTGCTTCGAAGACTCAGTGCTTGTGAACATTTGTTCCACAAAGACACAAAACACAGAATCAGTTACATTCTCCAGGTAGGACTGGACTGTTACAAAGAGATGGTGGTTCTGTCTGTTTGTTTTGCTCCCCACACCCTATGCTTGTTGTATTCAGCGTTATTGTGAAAGGATTTTTTTTTGTCACAAGTGAATTAAATGAGTCATAAATAATAACAATTAGTTACTAAAATGAGCCTGTGGCCTTAAAATATGTTTTTAGGGCTGGTGATGTACCTTGATTGGTACAATGCTTACCCAGCATGGGCAAAGCCCTGCTCTCAACTCCCATCACTACATGACTGAGCACAGTAGCACATGCTTGCAGTCTAAGCTCCAGAGGCGGAGGCAGGAGGATCAGAAAGAAAAAGGATACAATTTGAATAGCTCACAGCAACATCAAGAGATTACTCACAGACTTCCCCTGCCCCAAGGATAGCGTCTCCCATTGTCAACAGCACTTGAGACCTCTGAAGAGCCCACATCCACTCAACACCGGAGCCCAAGGTCTGTGATCCTCAGGGTTCACTGTAGGACCTGGGGCTTATGCAAATGAATAACAATATGTTTCTATCATTGTGCTAGCACACAAATTTTATTGTCCTAAACATTGCCGAGCATTACTTATTCACACATACACACACACCCGCCCAGCCCTTAGCCAATCTTTCCAGACTTTGCCTGTTCAGAAATAGCATATGTTAGATTCATACACTATGTAGGCTTTTCAGATTGGCACCTTTCGCCTAGTGATATGCGTTACATTTTTTTCCCCTGAATTTTCCAATGAATTCAGCTAATTTTTTCTTAGTACTGAACAGTATCCCCTAGTTTGTATGTACACAGATTATGCATCTCTCCATTGAAGGACATCTTGGTTGTTGCCTAGGTTTGGCAGTCACGAGTAGAGATGCCATAGACCAGGTGTGGGATTTTTAGCTATACATTTCCTTCTCCTTGGAACGTCACTGTTAGATGCTGTGGTAAGTTCAGAGTCACTGGAAGCTTGCCAAACGGCTTTCCAAAGCAGCCACAGCATTTTGTGTTGCCACCATCCATGAAGGAGAGCTCCCCTCGCTCTGCATCCTTGCCAGTATTGGGTGATGCTGGTGCTATGGATTTCTGCCATTGTAGAATGCGTTTCCTCATGACAAGGATGGGAAGCATCTTTATATGTGCTTGTTGGTGAGTGTCTGTTAAATGCTTTGGCTTTTTTTTTTTAATTGAGTTGTTTGTTTTCTTATTGCTGAGTTTCAAGAGTTTTTATATTTTTGGGTCACAGTCCTCTACTCCTTCATTCAAATCATCTCTCCTAGTGTGAGAATCCCTTTCTTTGACAGTGTCTCCCAGAGCAAGCATTTTAAAGTCTTGCTTATCGGCTCTCTCGTGGGTCCCCTCACGCCATTGGTGTTGTCTCTAAGAAGTCAGGAGTAAACTCCAGGGCAGTCCTCTCACTCCTTGGGAGCGTTATAGTTTCGTGTTTTACGTTTATATTCCAGTTGTGATCTGTTTGCAAGGTCTGGGTGTAGGTCTGTTTCCTCTTGCCTCTGGATGTTGTTCACAGTTATTCCTGTACCATTTATTGAAAACACCATCGCTTAGCCTGGGCTAGCTAACAGAGAGAATGTTGTTAGGCCCTGGGATAAATATTGTCACTCCAGTGAATGTTTGGCTTTGTTCTTAAGTCTCAATAGTTTGGGCATAAGGAGAAATAATTTGGTTAATATAATTTTTACTCTAGGGAGAGTGAACGCTTAGGAGAGTGGTTTTCAAAGTGTGCCTGGACCAGCAGTGTTAGCGTCACGTGGGAACTCAACTCTCTAGAGATACCCGTTCCTTAAGCTTGTCTTCAGACCTACTTAGAGATGTGGGGTGTGTGTGTGTATTTCATTTCACATTAAGGTATAAGAACTGCTGCCTTGTGGACACACACACATACACACACACACACACACACACACACACACACACACACACACACACACAGACAGATTTGCCCCAAACAGGCACAAACTACCAGCCACATTCATAAAAATCAAGAAGGCAAGTGCAAGTATGTGCTGCTACTGTGATCTGTGACGGCCTTGCAGAGGCTTGTTACCTCTCTTCCTATCCTCTGGTCACAACACGGACCCAGCAGAATATGCTTTTCATAGTTGCCGTTCTTTGGCTCTCACCGAAGCAGGAGGCGGAACCCTCCCAAACCGGCTCTGGAGGGCACTGGTGCTGGCTGTCGGCTCAGGTTCGGCCTCCAGTAACCCTTGATGCAGAAAGCAACAAGTCTTATTATAGTGACCAGAAAATAGTCTTAGGCAGCAAAGGGAAGTGTCCAGCCACTTGAAGCCTGGTACCCGTGGGCATCCCAGGTCCCCACGGGGGTGGGGTGTGTGTGAGCTGATATGTTTGCACAGTTGTTTATAGCTCTCAAGTGGTACCACATGTGGGTGCCTCCATGGTTGATTGAGACATGAGGTTCCACCCACTTGGTTTTGCTGGCACACCTGGGAACGGTTCTGTGCTGGGTCAGGTCTGCTGCCTGACGACATCACTAGGAACACACGTGATGTCATGACGTGTAACAGCAGGTATAGGTTATATAACAGCCAAGCCTGAGTGATTGGACTCTCCTAGTGTTTCGGGGTTTGCCTGTTGGGGACCTCTGGGGATATTGCTGTGACTGCTTGCCTGACTGCCTAGCATCTGTGTAGAAGGGCCGGGCAATAAAGCGTGGTGTGTAATGGTGCCACCCCATCGAGAGGTTGCCACACTTTCACCCTGCAGTGGGGCTTTTGGTAATTAGCTCTCAAATGACACCCGCTCTGTCCCTGAGATGGGCGCTGTGTGGTGATTAAGGGCTGGTGTTAGCTGTACCAGGGAGATAGTGCTTCAGGGAGGAGCCTGTGAAACATTAGATGCTATTTAAAGTGATAGCAGTTCTTAGCTGGCTACTTGGCCTCCGCCATCTGTTAGTGTGATTAGCCTGGTCTGATGCACAGGTGCAGCCTGGGGCAGCTGAGATTAAGCAGCTGTGGCCTGTGTGTGGGGACCAAAGAATGCTGGGACCTGGGACGAGGATACTTGGCAAGGAGGGAAAGGGGATGTTACTGTTCAAACTTTTTTTTTTTTTTTTTTTTTTTTTTTTTGCACCTCAAGTGTCAAATACCTGACCTGATTACTAGGGAAAATGCAGAAGGTCTGAATTCTTGGCATTTTCAGACACCTGGAAACATCCTTGTGTCCACGTTGATTCCTCTGGTGCCTCTGTTGTCTGGAGATGCCACTGGCATGTACTTGAATATTTGACTTGAGTAAAGTTATCCGGTGGTGCTCTCGTGACTGTGCCAACTGTGGTAGTCTTGGGTTTTGTGAGTGCCATTTTCCTGCTTCCCTTTGGGATGTTGCCTTTTTTTTTTTTTTTTTCCGAGACAGGGTTTCTCTGTGTAGTTTTGGTTCCTGTCCTGGATCTCGCTTTGTAGACCAGGTTGGCCTCGAATTGCAGAGATCTGCCCAGCTCTGCCTCCTGAGTGCTGATATCAAAGGTGTGCACCACCATCACCCGGCCCCGGATGTTGCATGTTTTAAGTTTGTGTTATTCAGCTTGAAAAGTGTCCAAGTGATTTCTTCTGCCAGATTGCTAGACTGTCGTTTATCTGGTTTTGCTGGCTCATTGTAGGAAGGCAAGCTTCCCTGACCAACAGAGGTCTTCAGTTCTGTGTAGAGTGCAGAAAGCATGGTTGCCAAGTCCAAGCACAAAAACAACCACCAAGAACTAAGAGGGCTGGGAGATGGTCCAGTGGGTAGAAAGGTGCTTGGCACCAAGCCTGATGACCTGAATTAGTTCTCAGAACCCACTTGATGGAAAGCGAGATCAGACTCCCATAGTCAATGTCTTAGTTAGGGTGACTATTACTGTGATAAAACACCATGACCAAAAGCAAGATGGGGAGGAAAGGGTTCATTTCACTCACAGTTCCATGTAACAGCTCATCATGAAAAGCGGTGAG